AGCAATTGCACCGGTATCAAATACCCAGGAGCCACTACGGGCACTAGTAAGGTACACATCAATTACATGTATATCACATATACCTTTTGTTTTGCCGGCCTTCTTATCCGCTAAGTACTTAGGGCAGTTCCGCTTCCAGTGACCGCTTCCCTTGCAATAAAAGCACTCAGTCTCGGGCTTGGGTTCATTCTTTGGCTTCTTCCCGGCAGCTTGCTTGCCGGGCGCGGCAACCTCCTTGCCGTCCTTCTTGAAGTTCTTTTTACCCTTGCCTTTCTTGAACTTAGTGGTTTTATTGACCATCAACACTTGATGTTCCTTCCTGACTTCTACCTCTGCTGATTTCAGCATAGCAAATACTTCAGGAATGGTCTTTTCCATCCCCTGCATATTGAAGTTCATCACAAAGCTCTTGTAGCTTGGTGGAAGCGACTGGAGGATTCTGTCAATGACCGCATCATCCGGGAGATTAACTCCCAGCTGAGTCAAGCGGTTATGCAACCCAGACATAGTGAGTATGTACTCACTGACAGAACTGTTTTCCTCCATCTTACAGCTGAAGAATTTGTCGGAGACTTCATATCTCTCGACCCGGGCATGAGCTTGGAAAACCATTTTCAGCTCTTCGAACATCTCATATGCTCCATGTCTCTCAAAACGCTTTTGGAGCCCCGGCTCTAGGCTGTAAAGCATGCCGCACTGAACGAGGGAGTAGTCATCGAAACGTGCCTGCCAAGCGTTCATAACATCTTGTTCTGCAGGGAGAACGGGTGCGTCACCAAGCGGTGCTTGTAGGACATAATCTTTCTTGGCAGCTATGAGGATGATCCTCAGGTTCCGGACCCAGTCCGTATAGTTGCTGCCATCGTCTTTCAGCTTAGTTTTCTCTAGGAACGCGTTGAAGTTGAGGACTACGTTGGCCATTTGATCTACAAGACATATTGCAAAGATTTTAGACTAAGTTCATGATAATTAAGTTCAACTAATCAAATTTTTAGTGAACTCCCACTTAGATTAGACATCCCTCTAGTCATCTAAGTATTACATGATCCGAGTTAAACTAGACCGTGTCCGATCATCACGTGAGACGGACTAGTCAACATCGATGAACATCTTCATGTTGATCGTATCTTCTATACGACTCATGCTCGACCTTTCGGTCTTCTGTGTTCCGAGGCCATGTCTGTACATGCTAGGCTCGTCAAGTCAACCTAAGTGTTTGCATGTGTAAATCTGTCTTACACCCGTTGTATGTGAACGTCTGAATAAAACACCCGATCATCACGTGGTGTTTTGAAACAGCGAACTGTCGCAACGGTGCACACTTAGGGGGAACACTTCTTGAATTTATTGTGAGGGATCATCTTATTTACTACCGTCGTTCTAAGTAAACAAGATGCAAAACATGATAAACATCACATGCAATCAAATAATAAACGTGACATGATATGGCCAATATCACATAGCTCCTTTGATCTCCATCTTGGGGCTCCATGATCATCTTGTCACCGGCTTGACACCATGATCTCCATCATCATGATCTCCATCATCGTGTCTCCATGAAGTTGCTCGCCAACTATTACTTCTACTACTATGGCTAACGCGTTTAGCAATAAAGTAAAGTAATTTACATGGCGTTTCTCGATGACACGCAGGTCATTAAAAGAATAATGACAACTCCTATGGCTCCTGCCGGTTGTCATACTCATCGACATGCAAGTCGTGAATCCTATTACAATAGCATGAACATCTCATACATCACATATAGATCATTCATCATTCATCACAACTTTGGCCATATCATATCACAAACCACTTGCTGCAAAAACAAGTTAGACGTCCTCTAATTGTTGTTGCAAGTTTTACGTGGCTGAATTAGGGTTCTAGCAAGAACGTCTTCTTACCTACGTTAAAGCCACAACGTGATTTGTCAACTTCTATTTACCCTTCATAAGGACCCTGTTCATCGATTCTGCTCCAACTAAAGTAGGAGAGACAGACACCCGCCAGCCACCTTATGCATCTAGTGCATGTTAGTCGGTGGAACCGGTCTCACGTAAGCGTACGTGTAAGGTTGGTCCGGGCCGCTTCATCCCACAATACCGCTGAAGCAAGAAAGGACTAGTAACGGCAAGAAAGTTGACAAATCTACGCCCACAACAAATTGTGTTCTACTCGCGCAAGAAGAACTACGCATAGACCTAGCTCATGATGCCACTGTTGGGGAACGTTGCAGAAAACAAAAATTTTCCTACTCGTTTCACCAAGATCATCTAGGAGTTCATCTAGCAACGAGTGATTAGATGCATCTACATACCTTTGTAGATCGCGAGCGGAAGCGTTCAAAAGAACGGTGATGATGTAGTCGTACTCGACGTGATCCAAATCACCGATGACCAGCGCCGAACGGACGGCACCTCTGCGTTCAACACACGTACGGAACAGCCACGTCTCCTCCTTCTTGATCCAGCAAGGGAGGGAGGAGAGGTTGAGGGAGATGGCACCAGCAGCAGCACGACGGCGTGGTGTTGATGGAGCTGCAGTACTCCGGCAGAGCTTCGCTAAGCACTATGGAGGTGGAGGAGGTGTTGGGGAGGGAGAAGGAGGCAACCAAAGGCCAAGGCGTTCAGGTATGAAGTCCCTCCTCTCCCCCACTATATATAGGAGGGCCAAGGGGGGGTGGCCGGCCCTAGGAGATCCAATCTCCTAGGGGGTGCGGCGGCCAAGGGGGGTTTCCCTCCCCCCCAAGGCACCTAGGAGGTGCCTTCCCCTCCTAGGACTCTTCCCCCTTCAAACCCTAGGCGCATGGGCCTATGTGGGGCTGGTGCCCTTGGCCCATTAGGCCAAGGCGCACCCCCTACAGCCCATGTGCCCCCCCGGGACAGGTGGACCCACCCGGTGGACCCCCGGGACCCTTCCGGTGGTCCCGGTACAATATCGATAACCCCGAAACTTGTCCCGATGCCCGAAACAGGACTTCCCATATATAAATCTTTACCTCCGGACCATTCCGGAACTCCTCGTGACGTCCGGGATCTCATCCGGGACTCCGAACAACATTCGGGTTACTGCATATACATATCCCTACATCCCTAGCGTAACTGAACCTTAAGTGTGTAGACCCTACGGGTTCGGGAGACAAGCAGACATGACCGAGACGACTCTCCGGTCAATAACCAACAGCGGGATCTGGATACCCATGTTGGCTCCCATATGCTCCACGATGATCTCATCGGATGAACCACGATGTCGAGGATTCTATCAACCCCGTAGCTATTCCCTTTGTCTATCGATATGTTACTTGCCCAAGATTCGATCGTCGGTATCCCAATACCTCGTTCAATCTCGTTACTGGCAAGTCACTTTACTCGTACCGTAATGCATGATCCCGTGACCAGACACTTGGTCACTCTGAGCTCATTATGATGATGCATTACCGAGTGGGCCCAGTGATACCTCTCCGTCATACGGAGTGACAAATCCCAGTCTTGATCCATGTCACCCAACAGACACTTTCGGAGATACCCGTAGTCTACCTTTATAGTCACCCAGTTACGTTGTGACGTTTGGCATACCCAAAGCACTCCTACGGTATCCGGGAGTTACACGATCTCATGGTCTAAGGAAAAGATACTTGACATTGGAAAACTCTAGCAAACGAACTATACGATCATGTGCTATGTTCAGGATTGGGTCTTGTCCATCACATCATTCTCCCAATGATGTGATCTCGTTATCAATGACATCCAGTGTCCATAGTCAGGAAACCATGACTATCTGTTGATCAACGAGCTAGTCAACTAGAGGCTTACTAGGGACATGTTGATGTCTGTTATTCACACATGTATTACGATTTCCGGATAACACAATTATAGCATGAATAAAGACAATTATCATGAACAAGAAAATATAATAATAATGCTTTTATTATTGCCTCTAGGGCATATTTCCAACACGTAGATCAACTAAACCTACACCACCTCGGAGATATCCACTATCTTAGCTCCGGGTACATGGGCAACAGATGCAACTTCGGCTCCGCGTCGGCCTCCGTCTCCTCCTATGCATCCAGCTCGTCGAAAAGCGCATCGGCCTCTGCATGTTCTTGCTGGATGAAGCGCCGGTTGGACTCCACGTACGCCTCATCTTGGATGGATTTCAGGATGGTGGTCTACTCCGCCATCTCCGCCGCTTGGGCGAGCGCGAACTCCGACATGGTGAAGCCCGCAACCAGCTCCGGCTCCGTCGCGTCTTCCTGCTCCGGACCCGCCCCCTCCATGGACCCCTCCTCTTCCTCTTGCTCCTCCTCCTTCTTCGGCGAGTTTGGAGGGAGGCCGGCTCCGACACGGGCGGCGCGCCTTGCCCAGATCTCCTTCTGCATCTGGAAAGTGGTGCTCCAACGTTAACATAGTATACATGATGTTGTTCTACTGGGCCATGACGAAGACAGGCGGCGAGGAAAGAGGGAGACAGAGACGAAGAGATATGGATGGGCTCAGACCGGAGGCGCAAAGGAGGATGAAGAAGATGTGACTAGGGCTAGGGGAAGCCGTGCGGCTTAAATAGCCGGACTTTAGCCTCGGGCGCGCGAGCCGGCGTATCCCCAACATTGCCACAGTTGAGGCGTGTCCACCGATCGCACCGTCCGTCCGGAGACACGGACACATCACAGGGCGGCACGTAGCACGGCGTCCACAGAGTCCCGGAGCAGCAGAAGAAGGAGCAGAAGAGCAGCGGTGGCCTCCACGTAGTAGACGCGCAGAGCCCACGTTCCCACTCGAGCGCCCGTTCGCACCGTCGCACGCACACTTACTTAACTCGCAAGGACCCGACCCATCACAAATCCTCTCCACTCCTCCACTCCGGCCGAGCATTCCCCGACACCTCCGGCCGCAGATCCCTCCCGGCCTCCCGCTCAGCCTCAGCCTCTGCCCGCCACCGCCATGCCCTCCTAGCGCGCCTCCCTCCCCGCCGCCCGATTTAGCCCCCGTCCCCCTTCTTTTATGGAGCCCCCGCGCGGCCGGCGCACTCGCAATGCCGCCGTCCCCACCGCCTGCTTCCTCCTCCTCCTCCCCCTCCTCCTCGTCCCAACCCTCTCCCCCTCCGCCCGCCACCACGCCGCCCCCAGCCTCCGTCACGTCGTGCACCGGGCGGCCCTCTCCTCCCCGTTCTTTGCCGCCAGGCCGCGGGGGGACTGCCAGGAGCTGCAGGCGCTGCACGGCGCGGAGGCCCGGTGCGCCTACCTCCTGTCGCACACCCCCTGCGCGCCGGCGGGGTACGTCGACTACCTCCGCCTCTTCTACTGCGGATTCGCCGGCGCGGGGCACCCGGCAGCGGGCTACGCGGCGTTCCTGCTCTGGCTCGTGGTCCTCTTCTACCTGCTCGGCGACACCGCGTCCGAGTACTTCTGCGCGTCGCTGGAGGGCCTCTCCGCCGCGCTGCGCCTGCCCCCCGCCGTCGCCGGCGTCACGCTGCTCTCGCTCGGCAACGGCGCGCCCGACGTCTTCGCCAGCGTCGTCTCCTTCGCGGCCGGCGACGGCGGGGACGGCGGCGGGGTCGGCCTCAACAGCGCCCTCGGCGGCGCCCTCTTCGTGTCCACCGTCGTCGCCGGCGTCGTCGCGCTCGCCGCCGCGGGGTCACGGGGAGGGGCCGTCGTGGAGCTGCGCGGGTTCCTGCGCGACCTCTGCTTCCTCTTCTTCGCGCTCTGCTACCTCGTGGCCGTGCTCGTGAGCGGCACGATCACCGTCTGGGTGGCCGCGTCATTCGTCTCCATCTACGTCGCATACGTCGTCCTCGTCTGGACCTCCCAGTGCTGCGCCGAGCCGGGCAAGCCGCCGCACGCCGACCTCGCGGCGCCGCTCCTCCTAGAGGACGACGACGACGACGACGTACCTCCGCTGCCGTCCTACTCGTCCAAGACCGCGCCAGCCTCCACGACGGCAACAGCCTGCCTGCATTACCTCGTGTGCGCGCTCCGCATGCCGCTGTACCTCCCGCGGCGGCTCACCATCCCGGACATCGCCGCGCACCGCTGGTCCCGGCCCTGCGCCGTGGCCTCCGCCGCGCTGGCGCCGGTCCTCCTCGCCACGACCTGGACCTCGCACAGCCCGGCGGCAACATCCTCGCACCACCACCACACCAGCGACGGCCACGCGATCCTCCTCGCAGGCGCCGTCCTCGGCCTCCTGTTGGCCGCCCTCGCCGCGGCGACCACGGACGCCGCATCCCCTCCCCGCGGGCGACGGCGCCGCGTGCCATGGCTTGCCGCAGGGTTCCTGATGAGCGTGCTCTGGGCATACACCCTGGCGCGCGAGCTGGTGGCCCTGCTGGTGGCGATCGGGTACATGGTGGGCGTGAAGGCGAGCGTGCTGGGCGTGACGGTGCTGGCGTGGGGGGATTCACTCGGCGACCTGGTCTCCAACGTGGCGATGGCGACGCACGGCGGCCCGGGCGGCGCGCAGACGGCGGTCTCCGCCTGCTACGCCGGGCCGCTGTTCAACACGGTGGTGGGGCTGGGGCTATCCCTCACGCTGGCGGCCGGCGCGCAGTACCCGGCGCCGTTCACGCTGCCGGCCGACTCCGCCGTGTACGAGACGGTGGGGTTCCTGTGCGCGGGGCTGGCGTGGGCGGCGGTGGTGGTGCCGGCGAGGGGCATGCGGCTGGACCGGGTGTACGGGGTGGGCCTCATCGTCATCTACCTCACCTTCTTCGGCGTCCGCGTCCTCGACAGCCTCGGCCTCTGGTTCGGGTAGCCATCGCGCGACTGCAGCAGACACAAGCTGCTCTGCTCCCGTCAATGGCGGCACTGTGCGGCGATGTACGTAGGCTTGTACAGTGGAGGGGGACACATGCATGGATCATCAGATGCTTGTACAGTGGTAGTATTAGCGCTAGCGATCAGCCATTAGGTGTGGATTACCGATGGATTAGCTAGTGGGTGTAATTGTTGATTGTTTTGGTTGGCATCAAAGATGATTTTCCCTCCACGGTACGTACCGAGAGATGAATACATGTACGTACGTATGGATCTGGATTGATTGCTCGGCCGGAGTTAGCTCGACGTTGCGATCGCCGAGTGAGCTCGCTCGATCTCGGACCACGTTTGGTTTTGTGTGGCCATCGATCGATCATCTGTGGACGACGGATCCCAGGATGTCGTCGTCTCACGAAAGCACGGCGGCCGTTTCACCCGGCTTGTTTTGATAATTGGCTTGCCTCGTCATGCCTCCGTCCGTCCCTGGTATGGATTTGCCGGCGCCGACAGACAAAATCTAATCCAAGACATGAACACAGTTGCCCGATTCCGTTGCTTCTAAATTAGACTTGCGAGGCCGCCGAATCTAGCAGCATGTTAGTTTTGTTCCCTTAAATGAAATTAATCAGGCATGATTCTCCCTTCTTGATGTTGGTACTGTGCCAGTTTATGGCATACACGTATCCGGGAGGAGGGGGCAGGCACAATTTGGTGCTTTGCTCCTGTTGTACTGCCCTGCACACATGCTTTCGGTCCCCTTTGTTTATGCGCCCGCGACGCGCATACGCGGGCGGAAATAAACAAGGGTTCGGTTCGAGGACCGTCCTGCTCCTCTCCACGCGCTAGCACACGGCCCGCCCTAGCTCCACCCGGCTCGTCGTCGTGCAGTGATCCACGGGGAACGGTTGCTTCAGAAGGACGTGCTCAATTGTTCACCGACCCACGGACGGGCGCACGCAACCATCCTAAAAAAAAAGCCGCTCATTTCGAATATTTCAAACATGGATTCTAAGCGAACTCAATATATTACATGCAAACTACTCCCCCGTTTTTAAATATAAGCCCATTTAGAGATTTCAAAATATGAACCACATACGGATGTATGTATACATATATTAGAGTGTAGATTCACTTATTCTTCTCTTTACATGGTCCATGTTAGAACCCGCAAAATGTCTTACATTTAGGAATGGAGGGAGTAACAAAGTTTAACAAGTTCAATGTATTTTACATCCCACCTAATCTAAACTAAAACCACACAAGATGTCCAATGGCGGCCTTGTAGGTGTGACCTCTAAGACCAGCGGGGTCGTCGTTACGTTAGTTGTAGAAGCCACCCCAACCGCGGTGGCGATCTTCTCCCGGCCGACGTCGTCATTCTCTTCTTCATCGATCGACTACTCCTTTACCAGGGACGGAGCGGGGGAGGATGACGGTCCCGACGGCCTGCGGCGGCGGCAAGTTGTCTCCGCCCGGCTCGGACTGGATCCAGAGCTCCCCGTGTTTATGTCCATCGCCGAGCAGTCACCATGCTCGTTTGAGCTCCTTATCCTCCATCATCTTCTTGCCCATCGTAGCATTTGATGGTGAGGGTTTTGGAAGGGTGGTCGCGGAAGCGTGAGAGTATTAAAAAGCGGTAGAGGCAGTGGTGCTATGTGTTGGGAGGGAAGCGGGTGTCGGTTTGACGTGGAGAACGTTCAGACTCTCCTCAAAAAATGCAATTCACATCTGGACACGTCAATTGCCATATTTCCAATCCATACAAACTCATGTAACTACGTCGGCACTCCTCAAAAAATACGATCCACACCCGGGCACCTCAATTATCATATCTCAAATCCATACAAACTCATGCAACTACGTCGACGCGCACGCATCGTCCGGCTACTCCATCATACTACACTAAACATGCCATCAGACTATCAAAATTTGGCGTGTTTGGCTATGGTGGAGTTCATCCACGACTGCCCTTGCCCTTCCCGGCGCCCTTGTCGTCCTTCTCGCGGAAGTACCGGTCCAAGACGCATGCGGATCGAGCCGGACCTGCTCGTCGCTGGAGGTGTCCTCGCGCGTCGTTGTCCATCTTCTCCTCCTTCGATGGCTGTTCGTCCATGGCACGAACCGCCCGATTCTGCTCTCGGGCGAGGGCGCGCGTGTTCCTCCGCTGTCGTTTCTTCATAATGCGGGTGCGGATGGCTTCCTCCTCTGCGGCCGCCCACGCCGCTGCATCAGCCCGCCGCCATTTCCGTCGCGATACGGGCCTCGGCGGCCCTTATCCTCTCCTTTCCATGGCGGGCCGCCCGTTCCCGATGGGACTCATACTCTGCCCGGCCGGTGATGGGGAAGGAGAGGTGTTTCGGCCGGCACCACGAGGATCTAGCACTAGAGGACCCGAGCGCCCGGTGAGCCAACGCTATGGCGTCGCGGCGGATGAATCCATCTGTCGGCCAGGTGGTGTCCTCCCGGGAGCGGCGGAGTGCAATGTGAACTGCGATTGCCTTCTCCAACCCACACGGGACCACACCCCAGTCGACGGATTCGGGCTAGTCAGAGTCCGATCCGCTGCCTGCGATGGCGAAGAAGTCCGCAAACCGCCGGAGGTGAGCTTGGGTGGTGGAGGGGAGTGGAGTGAAGTGGCTAGAGTTTGCTCCGGCGAGAGGATGGGGACGAATATAAGTGGGGATGGGTGGGCCAGTATGGACCGGGTCCGACGTGGCGGGTGTCCTCGGGCGTCCCCATATCCGCCTCATATTTGAACTGGATATGGGGGATGCCGGTCAATCTGAGTGTTTCAGGCCCGTTTGAGGCGTCCGTCTGGATCGAGAAATCGTGATCGGGCAGCCCGTTCAGACGTATGAGGCGGGTTGAAGAGAGATCCGATGTAGATGCTGTAAGGGTCTGGGTTAAAGGAGAGATGCCCGTGTGCTTTTCCTTACCTAGCAGACGGTAAAGCAAAGCATAACAAGATCTGCTGCAAATGGTCCGGCGTCAAATAAGTATCTGCTGCTTTGCTTCGGCTTGAGTCCTGCTCCGGAATTTCGTCCATGGCATTCTTCTCTGAACCGGTGACTTCAGTTTATATATGTCGGTAAAGTTGGTGCCGACCTTTCCCATTTGTTGATGGAGCACCAAACCCAAACTCTCGCGTCTCCTGGGAGGGAGGGAGGGAGGGAGGTCCGTCGACGTTGAGCTGACCATCTCCCTCCCCAAAAGAAAGGAGACGGCAAAGCAGGGCCGGTCGGTGTCTCCTTTTCATCCCACCCCACCGCCTTAGCAATTTGCACGTCGCCGTCACGCGGTCACACGGTGAATGAATGTATGTACGCAGTAGTATAAGGAGTACTAGTAGCTCTCACGCGGTGTCAAGAAAAGACGGCGCAATTAAAGTGGAGTGGCACACGTCGCGCAGGAGCAGGCCGGCGATCGCTACGGCAGGGTGGTAGCAATCTACGCCGTGCATGACCACCACCACCACGACGACAACGACGACGACGACGACGAAAGGAAGGAACTGCTGCGTGCGTTTGAGCGTTTCAAGTCTCGTACGTACAGCGTAATGACAATGACACAACGTTTTGCTTTTCTTGGGTGATCCGCACCGGATAGAGTAGAGCAGTGCCAGTACTACATGGGCGATGTGACGGTTGCCGGAAGAGCAAAGCGAGCCCAAAGACGATCGATCACGGTTCCTGGATGGGCTCAACCTCTTTCTTTCCGGTTTGTTTGGCCGGTGAGCCCCTGACATCGACGTCGTGTTGCATCCTGGTGGCACGGCTCGTGTCATTTTGTTTCTTGGTTTCTTCTTACTATTGTTATTATTGTGGTCCTTTTCTCTACGTTGCATGGAAGCACCAGTGGTCTAGTGGTAGAATAGTACCCTGCCACGGTACAGACCCGGGTTCGATTCCCGGCTGGTGCATTGCATTCCCTCTTTTTTATTTGCCATTCTCGTTTTTTTCTCCTATTATTTGTTGCGTTTTCACCTTCTTTTCAGTGGCGCTGTTTTCACATGTCCTGAGAAACAACTTCATATATTTGTTGTGTTTTTTTGAGAGCCGAACTTGTATTTGTTTGTTTTGAGAAATCTGACGATAGTACTAACTTGAAGCCTAAAAACCGCCTGCGACCAGACGAATATTGGCTGACAAACAAACAAGCTGGGCCATGCTGCCGCACCTGCAAAACCGAAACGCCCCGTGAGGAGGAGGTAGGGCCTGTAGAGCCCAAGCCCCACCACCAGATTCCCAGGCCCACCCGGTCTTGCCGTCTGTGCTCACTCACTCATCTGCAGAGCCCAAGCTATGCCAACAACATACCTACGTGTAGACGCGCAAAATTTGAATGAATTTAAACGGACACGCGTCGCCGTCCGATATGAATGTACGCGCAGGCGCCGGATTCGCTCGCGAAAAAATAAGAGAGAGCACGGCTCGCTCTAGGTGGCGCGCCATTTCATCATCATGGTGCGGGAGTACATCATTTCCCGTAGGTGCTGGCAGCAGAGGGACCTCGCCACGCTACCTCTACCTCTAGCTAGCTAGGTAGGTGGTTGGGTTGGGACTTGGGACGGTACTGCACATCATCGTCCTGCTCGACGACTGCTCTACTCTACTCGAACGTTTTCAAGGCGCGCGGAGACGGGGACCGGAACCGGCAATGCATATGCATAATATCATGCAGCCAGTACTCCGGCAAGGCTGACATGGCAGCATTTCGTGCATCGGCTGTCTGTCTCACATCTCTCCGTGTTTGGTTGCGCGCCCTGCAGGCAGACTGCAGCGAACCTTAGCCTGCCTTTCAATCAAGGGATCTTAAGAGCATCTACATCCGGACTTGACAAATCTCCCCCCTCCCCCCCATCGCGCGCACGCACGCGGGCGCGTCCGCGGACAGTGTCCACCGGCCTCTCATATGTTGTGCCGCATATTCACGTGCTCGAATTTCGATTCTCAACCCATGCAATCCATGCACGTCGATCATACAATACAAATTATTCGA